TTGAAAGGCTAGGGATGGGGCCGGCAGGTTACTAGGGGGGAGGGGGAGGAACGGGGAAAGGAAGCATGTTTAACTGTCAGTGTAGAAATCTGCGAACTTCTTTTGCACACATTTTGCAGATATCCGAGGCCAGAGTTTGAATGGTGAGATTTTGGAAGGTTCCATGGCAACAGTGGATACACCTTTACTCCGGGGGATACAGGGGATATACCTTTACTCCAGGGGGATACAGGGATACACCTTTACTCCAGGGGGATACAGGGGATATACCTTTACTCCGGGGGGATACAGGGGATACACCTTTACTCCAGGGGGATACAGGGATACAGCTTTACTCCAGGGGGNCTATTTGAATATATAGGAAACCTCTATTTGAATATATAGGAAACCTCTATTTGAATATATAAGAAACCTCTATTTGAATATATAAGAAACCTCTATTTGAATATATAAGAAACCTCTATTTTATTGCATCCTGCACACACAGTTCAACAATGTTTGTGCCAAAAGTTCGTTGTAAATAACGACGATTTTTGAACTTAATTTCAATTAATTTGATTAAAAATAAACTTCTAGGACGTTTCGTGCCCTTATTCTTGTAATAATTGTAGTTGGTAACCGTTCCTCTTTTTTCTCTGCCGATTTTTCTCTTAAAAATCACGTGTTTTTAAAAACAACAAAAGATTCGATATTCTTTTCAAGGCTGACTGGATCGTCTATAAACCTTCCCTGGGGTTGCCACACAAAAATTTGAAGGCGATCGGTTCAGCCGTTTTAACATTTATTGGATGTAAACAAACTAACATAAAAGCAAAGTACATATATAAAAATTTAGTGAAAATTCATGGTCTAGATTATAATTTTGATCGTTCATTAGATTTCGTATTCTTTAGTTACGGATAAATGCCCCGTTTGAATTTTTAAGTCAGTTATTTTTCTCTTTTTTTGCATTTTTGCATTTTTAGTATCATTTTGACAATTTTGACAATTTTGTCTTATAAATGTTTACACATAAATATCTAAGCAAAGTAATACTTTTTATACAATAGTTTGTTTTCATTTGATATAATTATATTTTTAATAAAGAATGTAATGGGATCGATATTTTAACCAACCCCGTTAAAATCGATTCTAATTTTGAAAGCTTTCCAATCGAATTATCCAAAGATTTTGTTTTATAACTTTAGTGTTTTCCAAATGAGAGAATTTGATATGAATATATAATTGATGGTTGGGTTTAAACAAAGAAACTCTCTCTCTCCTTCTCTGTATAGACCAGTTTTCATCTTATCAAGAATAATGACGTTTTCAAATCTTCCTTGTTTAATCGCAGACGAAGTGTTCAAAAATTTTCAAAAGATCCAAATACAATTTGTAAAAAAAGGAAAAATAGAATAAAAATAAATTTCTTTTTATTCGTAAATAAAGTAATTAGAAACGAACCAAGATTTTTCCCGTCTTTTATCTTTTTATTGTTTTTCAACCACGGAGCAAATTTAGGCTATATGGTAAGTTTAGGCTTGATTTTTTTAAATGATCCTTACTTTGGACGCCTTATCTAAATATTTTCAGAATTTCTTTCTTTACCTTTTCTAAACTTTATCCTAGATATAAAGTTAACAAAATTCAAATAGAAAATTAAAATCAAAATTTACATGATGAGTTGAGAAAATCTTTGTTTAATCTTGATAAATCATGAAGAGTTTTCAGAATCCTGTACAGTTCTTCTCCGTCATAGGATCTTGAGATCTTTTGTTTTTTTAATCTCGTTTTTAATAAAGAGAAGGAGGGAGTGGGAAGGAAGGGATAGAAAAGGGAGGGAGGGAGTGAAAAGGGAGAGAGTGTAGAGGTAGTTAGATGGAAGGGTGGAGGAAAGGAGAGAGAAGGTAGAGAGAAGGGGGGAGTAAGGGAGGGAGAAGGTAGAGAGAAGGGCGGAGTAAAGGAGGGAGAAGGTAAGTAGAAGGAAGGGCCGAGTAAAGAAGAAAGGGGAAGGTAGCGGGAAGGACGGAGTAAAAAAAGGAAGAAGGTGGAAGGAAGGGCGGAGTAAAGATGAATGAAGGTTGAGAGAAGGACGGAGTAGAGGAGGGAGAAGGTAAATAGAAGGAGAATGTAGAGGAAAGGGTGGGGTAAAGGAGGGAAAGGGTAGAAGGAAGGGCGGAGGACAGAAGAAGAGAGAAGGTAGAGGGAAGGGTAGATGAAAAGGAGGGAGAAGGTAGAGGGAAGGGTAGATGAAAAGGAGGGAGAAGGTAGAGGGAAAGGTGGAGTAATGGAGGGAGAAGGTAGAGGCAAGGGTGGAGTAAAGGAGAAGAAGGTAGAAGGAAAGGCGGAGTAAGGGAGGTAGAAGTAGAGGGAAGGGTGGAGTAAAGGAGGGAGAAAGTAGAGGGAAGGGCGGAGTAAGGGAGGTAGAAGGTAGAGGGAAGGGTGGAGTAAAGGAGGGAGAAAGTAGAGGGAAGGGCGGAGTAAGGGAGGTAGAAGGTAGAGGGAAGGGTGGAGTAAAGGAGAAGAAGGTAGAAGGAAAGGCGGAGTAAGGGAGGTAGAAGTAGAGGGAAGGGTATATGAAAAGAGGGAGGGTTTTATTCACAAACTAACCTATATATATTCTAGGCTCGCTTAGATTTCAAATCAAAAACTGACATTTAATCTTGGAATAATTATATTGAGAGAGATGAACTCAGTAGCATCAAACACAGCTGGATACAAGATGGAGAGAAAGATATCAAACTCTTTTTTATAACATCTGCTTTATAACATTCGGCTCAAAGTACAAAGGGAAGTTGCTCTTTTATAAAACAGTTTCAATCTTAGGATTATTATAAACTGCCAGCTATTTAAAGATTCCTGATCTATTTTGAAAATTCACGGAACCTCGACAATGCTTTGTTTTCTATTGTTTAATAATATATCCATATTATTCGTTTAATCAGTCTACAAATAGATTAACACACCAGGGGGATACAGGGGATACACCTTTACTCCGTGGGATACACCTTTACTCCAGAGGGATACAGGGGATATACCTTTACTCCAGGGTGATACATCTTTACTCCAGGGGGATACAGGGGATACACCTTTACTCCGTGGGATACACCTTTACTCCAGGGGGAATGACCGAGAAGCAAAAACTGCATTAGTTTTTGTTGAGGGATGTTATGAATATATTGGAGATCTTTAGAAAACATTATAATTAAGAGAAGTTTTTCTGTACCTACATACTTTACACTACTTTTATATATCACTTTTTGGAAGATTTCTCCAACCAAGGTATATACAAAGAAAATTATGAAATAGCATGGACAAA